AAAGTTCATAAAGTTTTTGCCTCCTTTTTTTTTTAAAATGGGACCTGAATCTGTGCAGATATGTGTGTATATATATATGTGGGTATTTATATTTATATTTATTTATTATTGTATATTATATGTAAATATATACTAGTATTACATATTATATATAAATATATATACAGTAAGATAACAAAAACAAAACACAATAAAGCAAAACAAAGAAACAGAAACCCGAGATTTTTTGTGTGTTTGAAATGATAGGAACTATATATTATTATTGGGAAAGAAACAAGAAAAACAGTGAGCTATAATAAAGATGATCAGCTGAAATAAAAGGATCCTTAGGGAAATTAATTGATTTCAAGGCCAATAGCATGTACAAACCACCTATAGTAAAAGATTTTTATATTAAAATTCAATGATTTCTATATTATCTCTCCCAATACACAAATTTAAAAAAATAAAGTATAGCTAGATTGAATTTAGCTCTTTCCAATTGTGCAGATGATTGCATTTTTTACACCCATCAGAGATTTCTAGTGACTTGTTTGGCATGACATTAGTCATTCAAAATTTATGGCGACTTTCAATTAGTTTTTCTTCTTTCCTTTTTAATGAAAGCGGCATCTTCGGACAGAGTTTATCATCATTTTCATTTTATGCTGACTAACGGGAACAACAAAACCTATTTTCACTGCAGTAACTGAAATGAGTGGTTACTAACACCCTAAAACAAAAGCTTCAGTGGCAGAATCGTATATCTCAAAGAAGATATCAGACATAATTTTATACAGGCACTTGCTGCAGCATACTGTTCTCTGTCATTCTAATTTACTTCCATGCTCATGAGCAAATTGGTAAAATGTACAGCCCTTTGGCATTCTCACTTCCAGAACAGGAGTTTGGTTTAAACATCTATCACTAAGAAACTATCAATTATAACCCACGTTGAGCCAGAAGAATGTGACATCAGTTTCTCAGCCACAACAAATATTTCAAGATTTTAGAAGACAACTGAGATAAACAAATACATAAGTTAGACTTTTTTGAGAAGTAAATAAGTCCTCAAAAAAATTGCTGATATATCCTCTTGAAGAGCAATATCAATGATTGAAATGTTTTCGTGTTTAAGTGTCCAGCTTACCTCAGTGAATCACCATGGCCTGGTTCACACTGATAAGAAGTAGCAATGGCAATTTAGGAAGGTGTCACCTTCTCAATAGTTATGAGATCTACCCATTTCTCTCTAGGTACTACTGACACCCTTCCCCAAGTGTAGGTCATTTACTGCAGTAACTTGCTCACAGGTGTCTTGGCTCCATTATCCCTAGAAGTCATTCTCCACACTATCTACCATTCACTCCCCTACTTCAAATCATTCAATCCAGAATCCCACTGACCCTGGAATTGTGCCAAAATAGTGAAAGCAAGTTCTGAGACCCACCACTAACTGGTCCCTTCCACCTTATGATTTTCCCTCACGTTCTCTGCCCCAGCCAGCCTTCTAGAACATCTTTTAGTTCCTTGAAACTGTCATCTTTAATCCTGGGCTCTGGTACTTCAACATGATGTCTGTTCTGACTGTAATGGTCTCTCAGCCTTGGTTAGCCATGGCTTCCATATCCTTTAAGCCTTGGCTTAGCTTGGTTGGTACCCTAAACCTGACATAAGGACTTGGAGCAGATGGTTTGTTTGGCAGGTGATCCTAGGAAGCATCAGCTAAAGTAAGCAGGGAAAGTGAGACAAGGAAAAGAGAAAAACAGTCACAGGTATGTTACTGGGTGTGTTGCCACTATGGCCAGGTCTCCCCTTGGAGACTCTGTGGGAAACAGCAGGGAAAACATGCCTCAGAACATTTCACTGGAGGTCAGGAGGCTAGGACATTTATCCAGCAACTCCCATCTCCTGTTGATCAAAGGTTGCTCCCAGGGTCAACTGACTCCGCTCTTCCCCAGGGACATCCTTGCCTTGCTTGCAGCTTCAGGCAGGAAGAAGAGACCCAGAACTTCATCTGGGAAGTTGCTAGTATGTTAGAAAGTGCCTCCCACAGTTTCAGGTGAACTCAGGGAGGCGGAAGGGATATGGGGCAAAGTGTCCACAGGGACCACTAAGCGTCACACCCTCAGAGTCTTATCGTGACTTCTTAGCTCAAGTTATAGTTCGGACTGGGTTTCACCTAGCACTCTTTATATATACACGCAGACATAAAACGGTCGCCTGGGGTTCAGATCTAACTGCTTCAAAGTGAAACTAACTCAGCATCAGAGTCGTTAAGAATAGCCCAAGAGGGAAACTAAAATTTGAACCCGGGTTTGGAAGACAACGAAGGTAATGCTCTTAATCACTGAGATATTAACCATAAAGTGCTAACAAGTGTCACATTTAAAGGCAAATTTTTGAACATTATTATCATCCTCCCTTAAAACACATACACACAGACACACGCACATTACTACAACATGAACAAAAGCGGTTAAGCACTAGAATTTCATGAGGCACTTTGAAGCTAAAATATTATATATTCGATATAATTACCCTTGGCTAATTGGATCATTGTGTTGTCTTAGTATGGTTTATAAAATAGACGTTGAGGGGGAGCTAAAGGGAAGTTTTATTTCTTCACTCATTTGTTCATCCAGTCAAAAATCATTTACTCAACACCTGTATATACCAGGCACTAAATCAGAGCCAGAGCATCAAACAGTAAGCCCCGCCCAGTTTCTTCCTTCAAGCAGTTCAGAAGGTGGTGTGGGAGAGCATCACAGAAGGATAAGCAAATAGGGACTAGGCAGAGGCAGAGTAAGAACCTAGAGATGGCAGCACCTAACCTAGAGGAGATGGCACTGAAACTCTTTAAAAAGACCTACCAGAAGCTATGTGATTAATTCACATAAAAGCTGGGAGTGAGGGACAGCAGTCTAGAATAAAGAACAGGTTTCTAGCTGGGTGACCAGTGGACCATAATCCACCAACTGAGATGATGAATACTGGAAGAAGAGCTATTTCAGTTAGGTGTGAGAGGACTTGCTGTGTCACTAATTAATTATACATCCTTTAAGTACATAATAAAATTTTTTTTAAAAAACCTTCATTGTACATGTAGCAAAGGACTCTTCCACAACCAGAAAGGCTAACAGAACCCTGCACATTGTCACAAAAAGGTACTGTAAACAAAAAGAAACATAATACTGAAATTTAGTTTACTTAATTGGCGTAATTACCATACCTTGAATATTTTTCTATCTTGGATCTCATCCCATAAGAAATATAAAAGAGAAAAGGGTTTAGGAAAATTGTCATGTGAAGATATAGTAAATTAATTACCAATCTGGGCAAACAAATACAAAATAAAAACTCAGAAGGGAAACTGTAAAAAGGGTATGTGACATAAATAAGATCAACTGAATTCGCTAATGCCTTACATTCTGCAGAAAAGTTAACTATTTGAAAGGAGGCGTGTC